TTGAGTTGCAAGAATTTTATTGATAAGAAAGGAAAGAATAAAGTAAAACAATGACTTTCATACCATTGGCTTTACCCCCATCTATGTAATGCASCAGAAAATTTCCACTGGGGAATTGTGTTTGTCTTCACTGTGAGTTTTAATCATTTTTGTCTTCTGGAATAGCCATTTATCAATTTAAGTAGTTCTTTATGAATAAACATTTATCAATTTTGAGAAAGAAAGTTTCCACTTGTAAAYATATTTTCCTATCCTGAATTCCAATATGGACTTTTCTTGCAGAAGGCTTGAAAATTGATGTTATCAAGATTCGAAGGAAAAGGATAGCCATTTGAAATTCATAGTTTCACAAAATTTATGAGACATAAGTCTCTTCCATTTCATTATTAACTAGAAGGGATTTTTCACTGAGATCCCAGAAATAAGCTGGAAACAAGAAGATGAAGCAGAGGTTCAAAATAGATATTTGGGAGCTGCTGTCTTTACATAAGATAATGAACGCCTCGGACAGAAAGATGACAAGGAGATATTGCTAGGAAATATATTTCACAGCAASTATATACTACAGAAATATAGATTTATTTTAATCTACATCTGCCCGAGTACTTTTGTCAGAGTTCCCATTGGGCTTACTTAGCTAACACCAGTTTACCCTGAGAATTACCCTCACGGTTTAGGTGGTGGACACCTACACAGTCGTGTGAATACCACGTTCCTTCTTCCACACGGCATTGCAAGCRGGATACAGGGCGCCGTCATAAACGGGGGCAAGTCAGAAGAGGAATAACGGAGAGGTTGAACCTTGAGCAATGCAAAAGGCCAGTGTTTTCCTCCACAAAGCACACAGCGCATGTTCCAGGAGCTCAGAAATGGAATTTCATAAGTAAATATAAGATTGGATTGAATTTGGCAAATGGGTGGAGTGGAGTTACTATACTGAGAGACTGTTATTTTGGAGGGTGATTTAAGACCTCTGAATATTATTGTCATCACAGTGTTATGAAATACATGTATCTAACTGCTGTCTGAGATTCCTCCCGGCTGTTTCAAAAGAGCAGTTATTATCATCTGCAGGCAAGATTGTTTTGCACCACAGCAGATATTAGAACGAAGGCTAAGCAATCATTTATAGCATATGTGGATCCTAGAACTGTAGCTGGAATTTTTAGAATAAGCTGTAATATATTCTGGGAATCACACATTTTCTTCATCATTAGTCATGCTTCTCCACTTCAGCAAATCAAAATAAATACAAGAGGGCTCCAAGTATGTTAACAAAGAGCACAGTATCCAACGTACTTTGAATGTATGTTAAAATGACAAAAACACCTCACCAAAATAATTGTTATGCTACCAACACACCCTCACAGTCAATAGTCCATGAAGTAGTAATTTACGTAGATACAGCGAGATTCTAAATTTTCAATGTCCTCTTTGAAAGACACTAGTTCTTCAGCATTTCCTTCTATTGTGAATGACAGAGAGGTCTCCGATTCCCAAGAGAATGCAAAAGGGCCTTGAAATAAAATGATCCCATAATGGCTCGCAGTGCTACACTCCTCCCAAGTTTTCAGCACAATTATATGCTCATTACTTTGGAAGAGTTAGAAAACAAGCAAGCTGCAGCTTTTAATGACGCTTTCATAGCAGAGAGAAGAACTATGAAAAAGCATTTAAAACAGCTCATCTCCTCCTCTATTCAGGCTCTCTTTCATTTCTAGAGGCTGTTGCAATGAGAAATTGGATGCTATCCAGTTTGGATTTATAAGGAAGCAGAAAAGGAGATAATGGCAGAAAGATGCATTCCCCCCCCCCCCCCATATAAATTCAGATCATCTTTAACATTTGATCAGACTTTGAAGAACATGAGACAAAAAAGCAGCAGCTACTTCCAGTCATATACTTTACAATAGCTGACAGTTTTGCACTGCCTCCCTGCATGCAGGGCTGCTTCAGACTTTCCTTTTATTTTTTGGAGGGGGAAGGTAYAGAACAGAGCCATTTATTTAGTTCTGCTATCTGATTATAAAACCCTGACTCAGAGCATCTAAAAGATATGCTTACAATGCACAGACATACATCCCAGGCCTTTGTACTGTCAGGCTGCCACCCTAACAAGCTAGAAATATGTATGTGAGTGGAGAAGACATTTCAGGATCAGAGGAACAGCCAGTTAACAATATATTATTGAGACCAATTTCTTTGTCAGTCCATAAAAGCTAAATGTGACCCCAATGGAGCTATTCTTATTACGAAGAAGCAATTTTCCTACCCTTTTATGACACCATTTTTATTATCACCATTATTTCCAATTCTCTAATTAGAGACCACAGTGTTGTTACACCAACATTTTCTCTTTGACTCAGACACACACATGCATTATGGTTGCCCCGAGAAAGAATATTAGTGCAATAAGCCTGAGCACTGTTCCTTTTCCTTTCTGGGGTTTCAGTACAGCTGTCGGTGAGCCGCAATATTTTAATAAGAATTTTCCCTTGACTGCCATAACCCTGTGACCTTACATATGCACTTGAAAAGAAACATTGAGTCAGAGAAGTCTATTCATTTGTTCTTCTGTTTATCAGAAACTGCAAGCAAAGCTTATTTTAGGTTCTATTTTTAAAAAATACACAGACCTGTTCTGTGGAGAAAGTGGCAAATATTGAYGTATTTAAAATTTTCCATCTCAAGTGCTTGAATATAAGAACTCACGTTAGCCTTTTGTGCACGATACCCAGCTTTGCGTAACAAAATGGAATTAGCAGTGAAGGCTGAAAAACAAGGCCACAGGTGCCCAGAACTTGGTCAAGGGAATTACATTTTGAAAACAATATTTTGCTTGTTGCTTTGCCTTTTTTTTTTTTCTCTCATAAGAATTGCCTCTCCTTTCAGAGCATCCAACCTAAGCTTGAAGACAACCAAATGTCAAACGCAGCAGGGGTTCCAGAAAGTTCCTAGGTAACTGAGAAGAAGTCTCACCATGACTCTAACATCCAGCAATCTATTAACACCAGAAAGGGTACAAAGTGCCCCAAATTATTTCCCTCTTCCACACCTTGAAGAGTCCTAATTCTTTTGTCACTCTGAGGGAGGCTGTGAATCAATTTCCTACTCAGGATTTCATTTCAAAGACCCAATACAGCCCTAAAATTCAGCTGTGTAGAAATGGCTCCTCGCTGTTATTTTTTCAGCTAAAAATCCGTATATATTTCACTGCTCAGAAGTCAATGAAGGGGTTTTATGACAGCTCTAGTAAAGTGAAGTTCTCCAATTACAACCTAGCTGTAAAATATACACTTTTTTTTTTTTTCCTCCTCCTTTTTTACTTCCAGGCAATGAGTTTTGGTCATGTCAGTTAAACCCAGCTAAAAGATGGAGAAAGAAAGACAGGAATGACTGCTCAGTGAACCTCAGGAGAGTTATGAAGTTATACAACCTCAGAAGGATTTTAGGCATTTTTATACTGCCCGACTCAGCTCATATTTATATCAGCCGTCTCAATGGCCTGAAATGAGCTCAGCTGTGAGGCTCGTAGAGAAAAGTGCCTCCACTAACTGGTGTATTTAGGAAATTTAGTTTGCGCATAGCTGGATGCAACAGAAAAGAGGGATGACATAGCTGTGCACAAAGTGAACCTTGCTATGATACCTGTCTTGTAAGCAAAAACTACATAATGCTCAAAAAGTAGGTACATGAAGGAAAACAAATGATCAGTAAAGAACAAGGGAAAAATTAAACACTTAGATGTAAATGCAGTTTTGTCCACATTACTTTTTGATCTCGGGGGAAGGAAAAGCAGCAGCAATCTCTATGGTTGCCATACAAATGCAACTGCTATTTTAGATAAGAAATATAAATGTRTCCTAATTCAGTGTAATTGTACAAGCATGCTTGGATTTTGACTATGCGTGTCTGTAAAAAAGTCTTCCTAGAACCTGGAGATATTCTAAATATAATGTTCCACCGGTGAAAAGTTACCTAAAATTTCACCTGATAAGATTTTTCATCCTGTCTCATCCTGTCTTGAACAAGGTAATTTACCATATACATAGAGGAGAGTTGGATTGATTATCTTCAGGCTTCCTGCCACTAAACTCAGCAAATTAGCTGCTCATGATTCCAGCAAATGATTGTACTTTTTTTTTTTTTCCTAGTGCTCTGGGAGAAATAGAACTGCAAAGCTTTGGCTGGGAATCTAAGAACTTGTTTATAAGCTCCTAAAAGAGGAAAGAGATATATAGCTGCTGTTGTAATTAGTGAAGTATTGCAAAAAGAAATGAGACAATCGTGACATCTCAGACAACTCAGAGAAACTCAGCTGCATTTCTCTTGGTGTCTCTTTTGGAGAGGTAAATAGTTGATTGTGTATCACAAACAACTACCACGAAAAGCTGGTTTAGTGCTGTAGGTAGCTGGTAGGACCAAGGAGAATGGAGAACTTTAGAGACATTCCAAGATCTTTGATCCTATTGAAGAAACAAGCTCTGGTTTATTGAGCGCAAAACCTCAGAGTGAAAACTAATGAAGCTACCATCCATTGCAAGATGTGCAGATAACCTTTCCCTTCTCAATATTAGRATTATAGAGTTACACACAAAGACTACACGTTCAGTTTGAAAGCTCTTCCTCAGGCTATAACGGACAAGGATATTTATTTTTAAGTGTTCAACCATACTGGGCATCTGATAACGGTGACATAGACAGCTGCTACATTAATGTATATTATTTATATAACCTCCTAATGGCCAACTCCCTCAGAGGGAGCAGGAAGAAAGGTAAGCATCCCAGCGCCAGAGGGTCTGACTTTGCTGACGTTGATCCATAACGAGGGGTAGAGGAAACTACTGCAGCATAGACAGAGGAAACCAAAGAAGAGAATTAACACAACAACTATCCCTCATCGTTTCTCATTACTGTAGTGTCTGGCTTGTACAAGAACCCTGTCAGTCAAACACTTCACAAACACACGACAAAAATGGTCTTTGTCCAAACAATCTTACCTTAAATATCCCACAAGAGCTAAACAACTTCTCAAAAATTAACGCAATTATCCACATCTCCTAAGCTTGTTTAAATCTCACAGGACATTAGTGTGTCAAAAATATCAAAGAAGTCATCAGAAGGMAAACCATCTCTTTCAGAGGAAAAAGGCACCTTCTACCTATCTCCACTTAATGGAGTGGGAAGACTCCTCCTTTCCGTTAGGAGATAACAATTGGATATGGAACACCTGGGCCCCATATCAAGCCTGGGAGTTGGCCCATGTGTGATCCATCATCAAAAAAAAAAAAAAAAACAAACCTCTGGCTGCCCTTTCTCCATGGCCATTTACAAGAAATTTGTCTATTCCTGCAAGCAAGGATAAACCATGCTTATAGCATGTATGCTGACTGAATAACGTGCATTTTGTACTGAAATCCTGGAACTGAAGTGGTTCCCAGTAGTGGTTCCCAGATGTAACAAGGCTTTTGATGTCCATGTGGGACAGATATGACWCCCTTTCTTAAGCCTTGTCGGAAAATTTTATCAATCACATCCTATAGCTACATTTCAAAGTCAAAGCAAAAGCCTTTGTGACCCAAGATCAATTTCATCCCAGTAAAGCTCCATTAAAGACATGGTCATTAAATTAGTTACTGGGCTTAATGAAAAAATAAAAATAAATAAAAAGGCAATTCCAATGAGAAATACAGTCCAATACAGTTTCCTCCATTTTACAATCAAAAGCAGGTTGTAAACTCTTCAGGGGAGGGAGGATTTATATCTTCTAATGTGTTTTTAAAATGCTGAAGTCTGAGTCCCAGTGCTAATTATGGCTGTTGCACAAATTATAAATAAAAACAATTATCATCACAGCACTAATAGTGAAATGTATATAGTTTGAAATTTTGCTTTCAGATAAAAAAGAATTGTTTTTAAAATTGCATGAATATTTTATTGCATAGTCATCACGTCAATGATTTATCAAGATGCAGTAATAATAAAAATATCATCATCAGGTTGGACAAGATGATCTCTAGAGGACCCTTCCAACCTTAACCATCCCGTAATCATCTACCAAAATCTTTAACTTAACTTTAAAATATATTCTTTTTGCTTACTTAAAAAATCTTATCACAGATTATCTTGTTATTGTACTGAAAAATTGTGGAGGAGCAGTGGCATTTTCAAATTTTATTTTTTAGGGTGTTTTGTATTTTTAATTTAAAAATGACCTAATGAATTATTGAGGATTTAATTTAAAAAATCTAAATTTTAAAATGTTTTGATGGATTTAGGTTTAGGGAAAGGAAAACATTTAAAATATTTATGCAGAAACAAAGTAGGTACATATTATCCTGGAATTTATTTGCTTAATATATTATTCACTTACTGTATTTCATAATTTTTCTAGGATAAATCTACTATTTTTAGAGACAGAATTTAAAATGGACTAAATGTGTGAATACCTGCAAATTTTTTTCCCTTTCCACAGTGACAGATCGTGCTTCTGCAAAATCTATGTGCAGAAACGTATCTGAAGACCTGGGCGTATAAAGGGAGAAATCCGGGATATTTTTGCCTTGCAGGTGTGTCTGATTCACCCATGCTGTGAAGTTTGGCAAATCAAGCAGTCTCCAGAATACATTTCCTCTCCAAACAGGTCATTTCTGAGTTCATATACAGTCCGAAATTATATTTTAAAATACTACATAACAGAGAATGCATTATAGAATATATTCTAGCCTTTTGAATCATTCTGTGGTACAAGGAAGGAAAGATACAGTACCCTGGGTATAAATATTGTATGCAAATCATCTTATTCTGCTCGGCACTTGGGGGAATAATGTGCATAAGCTTAGAGGTCTGGAAAAACCTTGTGTGCAGCCATCCTTATATATGTATAAATCAGAAGTAAATGCAGCCTCTAGAGATAAAGGCTTAATCTGAAGTTAAGTCCATCAAACCTCCATTTTTTGGAAGTTTTCTGTCTTCTAGGTCTTGCTGGGTGAAATTGTGTCTTTTCCTTGTTTCTTTTCTCCCTGCCCATACGTTTTCTGCCCAGTCCACCTAGAAGAAACTACTGATTTTTCTACTTTTGGCTGTGTAGTGGACATTGCAACACACAGGAGAAATAATCTATTATTTCCAGCTGCAATACTGCCGGCAAACTCTTACCTGGAAAATTTAATCAGCTCTCCAGGAGCAAAACAACCTCTGGCTCAGAACTGGAAGAGGTTGTTCCCTTAAGGAACAAGGACCTCTTCAAGAAMGAGCCTGCAATGGAGGATGTTGTGCTGAAGAGGCTAAATGGCTCTCAACAGTGGAGCCTGCATCTAAAATCCAGCAGCTGCAATGTGGACACTGCAAAATAGGTAGGGAATGAGGGGAAGTGCTYGTTCTGCATCATGAAGCAGCAGGAGGAATGTGAGCCGGGCAGGGATTGGGGCTCTCCTGGGCTTTGACGCACTGCTTGAGGTGCTCACTTGATATTTCTCTTGAAAAGACTTAATTAGGTTCAGATACAATGTTTTTGTTCTCTCTGACCATTCATTTTTCCCCAGCAAGGAGCAAGCCACTTCTCTGAATACAAATGCGCTRGCTGTCAGAGCTGCATCTGATGTGTTTCTTAAATGCATGAGCAAGTAAAATGAAAATTTTTGAGGTCTATATGAAAACTCTTGTGAGCATGTGACACCCAGACTTGCACATTTTATTTTGATCTCTTCCCTCTCATTTCTAWTCAATGTTATTAATTCTAAATCTGTCTTCTTCCCCTGTCTTTTAAATGTTATTTGTACCATTTTATCATCACTGYTCCTTTTTGTCCCTTCCATAAAAAACAATAAAATATTAATGTGGCGTAAAAAAAAATCTGTCTGTGCTAGTAGTCTCTTGAAACCATTGATGGAATCCTTGAATAATATATGAATCTTTATTTTCCTTGTAGTATATCAGATTTCATGTGTTTATTACATTTTTTTTTTTTTTTTGTAAAGTGAGCTTGTCCAACAGAGGTTTTGTTTTCTTGCTTGCTTGCTTTTATTTTAGGTGACTTTTGATTTATGAAGCTTTGGAAAAGGTGACATCTGATATTGTATTATGTGAAACACAGCACTTTCATTTGGATAATTTTTCTAGTGTCTCTCATCTAAAATGAAGTGAGAAGAGAAGAGAAGAGAAGAGAAGAGAAGAGAAGAGAAGAGAAGAGAAGAGAAGAGAAGAGAAGAGAAGAGAGCAGAATCTCAAATCAGCAAAAGCATCTTATTTTTCTTATCTTTCTTTCTTCTTGAGCTGCATCTCTCCCAGTATTGCCTGGGCCTAAGAGAAAGTATTTCAACTGAGACCGAATGATGTTCAATATAAAAATCCAAACCCTTCAAACCTGGGGTATTGTAATAGTAATGCTAATTTCTTTGGAAAATATTGCTTTCCTTAGCAATCTTAATCAACATCTTTATTCCAATTACACACTAATCTGAAAGTTTAAGAGGTTTTTTTCTTTGRCTGTAATTATGCCTGAGTCTCATTGTGCAAGACGAATGGTAATATAAATCTCAAGCAGTTTTTCTGAGATGTCTCCACTGCCTGCAGTTATATTGGTGTACTGACAAAGGACTATTCATTTTGGTGGCATGTTCTTCAGATAATCTTATCAGAGATAGATTTTTATAACAGTGACTTCCTAACAAACCATTTAATTGAGGAAAAAAAAACAATTTTTGTGCTAAGTCTGTGAAACAGAGACAAAGAATTCATAACAATAGTCACTTCAAAAGAGAATAGTGAACATAGCTGCTGGCATAATCAAAGAGATCACTGACCACTTAGGTCTTGTGGTTGTCAGCACATTAAAATGTATTAAAATATAGCTCTTCCTCTTCCAGAAATGCAGGTGACTGTTCTGATAAGCTGAATATTACAAGATTTGTTTGAAGAAGAAAAGTCTACTTTTTTAATGAAAAGCATATTTTGGATTTAGAATGACACATACAGAAAAGAATGAGAAAGATGACTCAGAGTCCTTAAAAAATAAATATACAAATTATGATATAATATGCAACATAACATAGAAGGCCTTTTAAATTCATCCTGAAAGAATGAATATTGTCATCCAGCTTGACAACAATATGTTGTTATTGCATTATGATAGGGTTATAGTTGTACTGTATCCTGCATCCTGTGACTCTTATTAAATAGTCCTCAAGTAGACTTTGCCTCAGGCTTAATATTAAGTTCTAACACCCAACAATRACCACTTAAAGAGCAAAATTATTTATTTGCCTTATTAGAGCAAAAAGGAAGCTGAAATTCATACAGAGTTTGGCTTAAGTTGGAAAACTTGATGGTTGAGTAATGTCACCAGAGGAAAAAAAAGATGAAGCTCTGAAAAGACTATATGAAATGATGATCAGTTGATCATTTGATCAGTTGATGCAGTCAGTGATTTCCAAAAAAAAAAAAAAAAAAAAAAAAANAAAAAAAAAAAAAAAAAAAGTGATAAATAACAGCTATAGGTACAAATCTAGACCTATTTACACATGTTTTCCAAGCAAGCAAGGATGGGGCTATTTCAAGAAACTGCTTAAACCAATTTGTTCATGACAACAAATAAAAGATCGTGACAGAATTTCTGTCACCTATACGAAAGAAGAATTTGCTAAGTAGTGATAAAATGCATTGCACCTTCTTTTTGGGGGAGAATGATAAGTTTGATTGGTTTTTTTGTTTGCTTTAGTGAAATTCTCCCTGGAGGAATGATCACTGCCTCTTGTGGAACTCAGGCAAAAGACTATTTTATTGATCAATGCTCCTTACCACAAAGTTAAAATTAAAAATAGGTATTAAAATTGGTTACAGTATAACCTGGCACTCCATAGCTGGCTGTGTGCAATAAAAATCACATCATGTTCTCCTTTTCAGAAAAGCCATCACCGATTCAATTTCAAAGTTCTGCAGTGGTAATTGAAGGCTGCAGGAGGCTGTTCAGCAAAACTTAAGATTAGGACATAGTGAGAACATGTCAGCATGCAGCTACATCTCAGCCATGTCTTCTGAAAATTCTGAGTAGAAAATGCTGCACAATAGGGCTTAATATTACAACTATTTAAAAAGTCTATCACTGTACACTCAAGAGTTAAGAGAATTTCAAGTTTATGTCATGAAGTAAGTACATTTTACTTTTTTAGAAATCAGTTTCTCAAAGGATATTGATCTT